TATGAAGAAAATAAGGCAGGATAAAAGAACAGAGAGTGACAAGACGGATACTATTTTATTTTATTTTATTTATTTTTTATTGAGGTCATATTGGCTTATAACATTACATACATTTCTGGTGTATATAATTATATTTCAGTTTCTTTAGACTGCGTCATGTTCACCACCAATAGACTATTTTTTATCCATCACACTTACGTGCCCCTTTATCCCTTTTGCCCTCCCCCCACTCCCTCCTCCTCTGGTAACCACTAATCTGTTCTCTTTGTCCATATGTTTGTTTATCTTCCACATGTGAGTGAAATCATATGGTGTTTGTCTTTCTCTGTCCGACTTATTTCACTTAGCAGAATACTCTCAAGGTCCATTCATGTTGTTACAAATGGCATGATTTTATGGCTGAGTAGTATTCTATTGTGTGTGTATGTGTGTGTGTGTATGTATGTATGTATATATATATATATACATACATACATACATACACCACATCTCCTTTATCCATTCATGTGTTGATGGGCACTTGGGTTGTTTCCACATCTTGGCTATTGTGAGTAATGCTGCAGTGAACATAGGGGTGCATAAATCCCTTTGAATTGTTGATTTCATGTTCTTTGGATAAATACCCAGTAATGGGATAGCTGGATCGTATGGTATTTCTATTTTTAATTTTCTGAGACGTCTTCATACTGTTTTCCATAGTGGCCACACCAGTTTGCATTCCCACCAGCAGTGTATGGGGGTTCCCTTTTCTCCACATCCTCTCCAACACTTGTTGTTTCTTGTCTTGTTAATGATAGCCATTCTGATGGATGTAAGGTGATATCTTATTGTATTTTGATTTCATTTCCCTAATAATTAGTGATGTTGAAATGATTGATACTATTTTAGACAATGTGGTTAGAGAACGGCAGTCAAAGAAAGAAATATTTAAGGGAGGACTCAGAGGAATCAACAATAGTAGCCAATATTTATTGAGCACTTGCTATATGCCAGAGATTGTGCTAAATTCTGTATCATTTAATCTTTACAATAATTTATTTTACAAAGGAGGAAATCGAGGCTCGGGGAAGTTAAATAATTTGCTCAGTAACTTACAGAGCTAGTAAGACTCACAAGCTCTGGCTGAGCCTTGCTTTTTCCCTAGCTGCTATTAATATTAATATTAACTTTAATATTAATGTTAATGGATGAATAATGGCCCCAAATTAATATTAATATTAATGTTAATATTAAAGTTGAGGCCCTGTTGAGTATAGGGTTTTGCTTTATTTTTAATGATTATTATTTAGGTAACAGGTGAATTTTACAGAACTCCAGTGTCCCTGTGCAATCTTGAGTACCATGTGCCTCTTGGTTCCAAGGCATGACCAAGACCAGACACTTTACTGATGTCAGTCAAGCCAGAAGGCAGGTGTCTCAGTAGGCAAGAATGAATGAAACCTCATGGACCAGTGGATGGGGTGCCTTTACTAGGAGAATGGGTCATTCATCCATGGTAACAGAGGGAAAGCATGGTGTACTGCCATGATGCAGGTGATGGGTGGAGGTCGTGGTGGGAGCTTGCCAAAGTTCCCTTCCAGTGGCTTCTACTCTCTCAGAGAGTTAAAATAGGGGAGGGTGACAAAAAAAAAAAAAATCAGTAAAATACAGATTGATGTTTATTTTCTTAGTGATAACATGATCTTCCTTAATGCAAAACACTTCATCATACTTAACAGGAGAATCTCATGAGGGGAAGATAGTCAAGAAAGTACATCAACTGTAACACCAAGTGATAAATAAGTAAATAATATCTCAGTGGAGGAAGTGTGAGGCCAGAGAAGGGAGTGATTTACTCTTCCTGAGCGACTCAAAGAAGTTTTACAGGGTAGGTGAAATTTGAAGCAGCCCTGGAAGGATCTGATGGTAATGAACACTGTTCTCAGTACTTACTATTCATAATGGTCCATGAGAGGCAGGGGTGATTCTTGCCCCCATGTTATTTCCAGGTCAAGGGAGTGATGCACACGCTCACACAGCTGGCGTGTGCAGCGCTGACACAAACTGGCCTAGGCTGACTCCAGAGCCTGCTCCCCTCTCTCAATCATTTCCCCATCTTTACTTTTTCACATGAATACCATCACAATTTAAAAACGGCCGTCACAACTTCCTATTTGTCCCTCTGTGGATGTTTATGCGTCAGCTGACTGCAGGATTTTACTTCAGATAGACATTTTGATTGATCTCAACCAAGCTTACCACCTGGGGTTACCAAAGGAGCTCTTAGAAAATTCCAAGGCCCAGGCTGCACCCTGGAGGATTTTGATTTAATTGGTCTTGATTGGGGCTCAGGTGCCAGTGTTTTTTAGAATCATTCCCCAGGTGATTCTAACGTGCAGCTGGGACTGAGAATCACTGACTTAAATGGAAGAGAAGAGTTCTGAGGGGCAGATAAAAGAATTTGATACCTGCAGTACCATTGCTTTGGGTTAAGAATTTCTCCCTTAAAATGGAAATATTCTTTGGGGTCGGAGCAACATGTGAAGTCTGTAGGAAGAGCTTAGTGGGAGTGAATTTATCAACTCTCCTTTCTCCTTGTGCTGAGACCTTCAGGAGGGGCTGCAGTAGAGCACCTAGGCGTAGAAAGGAAGGGGCCTGAGGAATCAAAGAAGCCCGGGTTGAATCAACAGCCAGGGATTTGCTCTGCTCTTAGTAAAATCATTTGACATCATTTGAATATTTATCAGTGTAACTCAATAATGGACTCCAAGACCAAACCAACTGCTGAAATGATTTAATGATAACCCTAAATAAATTTCAAGATCATACTTTGGCTGGTGAATATTAAGATGGCTAGGCTGTAAGTTTCATGAAGGCAGCTGTTCTATCTTGCTGTATCCATAGCACCTAGCACAGTACTTAAAACCCAGTAGCCATCATTAAACACTTGTTGAATGAGCGCAATTCACCACCCATCTTCATCAATGTGAAATAATTTGTTCCAGAAGAGGAAATAGGTTTGGTGATTGATTCACAGTCTGTGCCATAGCATTGTAAGAACATTCTATAATTTGCTTCAATTTATTTATCCGTTTCCCTATTCAGGGATATTTAGATTGTTTCCAAGTTTTCGCTATTAAAAACTATACTGCGAAGAACACCTTTGTATGTGTTTGCCTGCACACTTATACAGGTGTTTCTGTAGAATATGTCCACAGAAGTAGAATTTCTGGGTTGGTGGCAATCTGTTTAAATACTGTTAACTAGCTTTCCAATTTTATACTCCCAATAACACACAAAATGCAAAATATAAAGGAAAAGATGATCAACTTGCCTTAAAATATAAAAATTCTAAATCACAAAATATACAGTAAAGCTAAAACATATTGTAGCCCTTTCCACTTCCTTCCAGTACAAGTAAGATATATAATAAACAAACTCAAAGTTCTAAGTTCACCCTTTGTAACCAGCTCATAAAATGGCTGAGAGAGACCCCCTACCTTTGTGTCTGTCTTTGCCCTGAGAAGTTATTTAGGAGAATATTCACATCTCCAGATGGTTCTTCAGGGCAGCTTGGCTGATGGTAGTCAGGCTGAGATCCAGGAAAGAATGATCTAAGACTGCAGGTGCTCATTCTGCCATTTTTCCAAAGCGAACTCCCAGCCCTGTGCGGGCGGGGCGGCACACAGGGCAGCCTGGAGCCCTCCCTGGCCTATCTTCCTCTCCCCTCCCTGCTTGCCCCCCAGGGACACTCTAGTTTTGGCAAAATGGATGATCAGGCTGTCCTGGGCATAACTAATGCAAGAGAATTTTCACCAAGGCTGATCATAGGTAGATATGCCAATTCCCCCTTTTTCTGAAATGTTCATTGTAAGATTTTTGTCCTACATGGAAATTCTGGCTGAGAGTTTAACTCTCAGAGTTGGAGTAGAAGTGTCTGACTCTTCCTAAGGAATCCTTTGAACTCTGTATCTCCAAAAGCTTTAGCTTTATAAATAGTCAAGAGATATGAAATAAATACGTAGATGACCATGTGTATTTTATGATTTAGACTCTCCTTTAACTCTGCTTGAAATTTGGGTGCACTATGCTGAGAAACAGAAAAAAGAGCTTAGCTGTTGCTGTAGTTTACATCTAGTTATGACAGAGCTGCTCTTCCAAGGGAGACTATGTTCCTGGATGTGATTGTAATTTAGAGGGGATAGCAATACCTATGGCTATTTTCCATACAATGCTTTCAAAGGACATTTCAGCAAAAACAAAACAAAACAAATCCTCCCTCCCAACCCCACACAGGCCTTTTTTATCTTAACGGAACTTCAATATCTTCCGTCTAATTCCATTTCATTCTATGTTCTCAATTCTACTTTTTACAGTTAGCAAAATAAATTTTATGGATCTGTCTTCTTTTCTGTTGTTTCTCTGAAGGATAGGCAAAGGGTTAAAATGTACCATTTCAATGTAAATACTTCTTTTTCTTCAACAAGATAGGAGCAAATTTACTAGCTTTTCCTGCCACAGCAAAACAAAAACTGCTGCTCCCACATGTGACTCCTCCATGTGTCTGTGCTCCCGGTATGTTCTAGCTTCTCCCAGAGCAAGTCATTCTGTTTGACTCTTCTCAGTGGCCCTTTTCTCTGAACTGACTTCCTCTCCTTGTGCTGAACATAGAAGTACTAAACTCAGCACGGCAGCTCCAGGCACCAAGTCCTCTAAGTTCTGTCCCTAAACCTAGTCGAGATTGTATTCAGCTCTAAAGCCACTGCTGTTGGCTTCCATGTCTTCATTTATTCTAAGAGTGGTCAATATTTATTGAATTCTTGTGTCAAGTGCTTTATGTGTACCATGTCATGCAGTTCTGACCAACACTGTGCAATAGATACGTGACCTCAACTTTACAGATGGAGAGAAACTGAAGGATCAAAGGGTTAAGTAACTTGTTCAAGATAGCTGGGCAAGTGGCAAGGAGGAGACTCCAACCCAGGTGAGCTGACATCAGAGACCGCGCTCCTAACCACTGACCTAGGCTGCCTCCCTGTCTGCACTCTTCATCTCTGTTCCTTGCCGTAGCCAAGCTCCACCAGGGAAGGGTTCTTCTCATTTGTTCACTGAAGTATTCTGAGGTCCCAGAACAGTGCCTGAGATGCAATTAACACAAAATAAATGTTTCTTGAATGAATAAATCTCTTTGCTCATTTTTTCTCTCACTTATTCTTCATTAAACAAATGTTGATTGAACCCCTAAAATCAGGCCTTATTCTACACACTCAAGACATAATAATGAACAAAGTCCCTCCCCTCTAGAAAATTACGTTCTTGAGGGAGGAGATAGACTAATAAATATTTAATGTCAGGTAAAGAGTTGTTGTGAAGAAAATAGGGCAGGGCAAAGGGATTATAAAATGAGGCGGGAGTGCTATTTTAGCTAGGGTAGTTGTGGAAGGCTTGGCTAAAATGGAGAAATTTAGGCAGACAACTAAAGGAGGGAGGAAATGAGTCATTTGGTTATTTAGGGGGAGAGGGACCAAACAGAAGCAAAAGCACGTGCAAAGGCCATGACCTGGTGCATGTTGAGCACGTTTCAGGAAGAATGGAGGCCAGAGTAGATGGTTTGTAGTGAACAAGGAGGATAGTAGCGAGAGAGATGGTCAGAGCAGTGGGGGAAGGGAAAGTGTTGGACTTTATAGGCCATCGAGAGGACGTCAGCTTTTACACTGAGCGAGGTGGGAAACTAACAGAGCATTTTGAACAGAAAACTGATGTGATTTACTTCCATAGCCGAAGGATCTCCCTATGCGGAGAACTGTAAGCGGACAGGCGTGGAAGCAGATAGACCAGTCAGGGGCTCTTACAACAATCTGGGCTAGAGGCGATGGTAGGCTGGACCAAAATAGTAGCGATGGGGGTGATGAAAAATCCTTAAAATCTTTCAAAGGTGGTATGATTTGCTGATGGCCTGAATGTGGGATATGAAAGAAAGTAGAACAGCCCTAAGGTTTCAGCATTTGAAGGGGGGCACTTACTGACAGCTGGGGATGGCTGTGGGAGGATCGGGCTTGGGATGGAGGGGTATCAAGAGTTTAGGTTTTGAACATGTTTCTCATCATCCAGTACTGCCTTCTATGGTGAGAATATTCAGTAACGATAATATAAGACAGCAACTCAGGGACCTCAAAATCCAAACACCCTCAGGGTATACTAAGCAGGTAGCCTGACTGTACGACTTGGCCAAATGCAAAGCAACAAGCAATGGCGAGGCCGGGGAACTAGAGAGTTCATGCATGATCCACAGGCACTGACGTAAAACAAAAAGGTGTGCTGGTCAGTGCTGCCCTTGACCTTGAGTTTGTGACCCCTGAAAAATGATATCAGCATCATTGGTTTTCATCCACGTTGTTCTTAGGTAATCCTTATACATACCTTCTGCTAAATAGGGCATGTAGCTGAATTTCGTCGGATACAAACTGCATGTCCTGCCTGATGAATATATTCATCAATATATCATTCCTACAAGAAATATTTGTTAAGCCCTTACTGTGTGCCAGTCACAGTTCTAGAAAAGACATGACAGCAAATATAAAGTACCAAATAATATTTCAAATTCTGTTAATACATCACATATTCAGAGAGGACTGCTGACAATCTTACCTATGAAAACGAACACAACATAGAAGTACCAAAAGGATTCTGAGAAGATTAAGTAGATGTTTGAAGTTTCATGTCTATGCACTAAAGTTTATATGCTTAATTCTTAAGACTTTTTTTTAGGACCGCTTCTCTTATTTTGCACATAATTTTAACATACCTGAACATCTGTTTTTGTAGCTCAAAACAGATAAATCAGAAATAATTTGGCAGAAGAGCAGGGAAGAGCACCAACAGAGGTGGGCACCCTGAGTAAAGCTAGATGTCATAAGAAACACCACCACTTTGCTAGAGGGAAAAAGATTTAAAAAAAATAAATAAAAGCAAACACAAGAATTTTTGTTTTTAATGTGGAAGTCTGGGGAGACTTGATGTTTCCTGTATGGACAAGAGGTCTGTCAGAGCTTAATAAACCTGAAGTCTTCACTATTTAAAGCACAGTACAGTCAGGATGGTTATCTAGTAAGGTTTACATTAAACTCATAAACTCTGCTTTTAAAGGTCAGGAAACATACAATCCATTTCAAAGGGTTCCCTGGAAATGATGAATGTACACATTTCAGAGGATTTGTTTCAGGTATTTGTAAAATCCACCGACGGGAAATACCTCATTCTCCAATAATATTGGGGATCTGCTCTGATTCTGTACTCTGGCCTGTGAGCCACATACATGGTCAACAGAGACTTTAAAACACATCCTCAGACACACTTTCCTGTTTACAGCAACTGCCTCAGACCCTCTCACGGCACCAGCCCCCTTGCTCCCATTTCCATTCCAGGGTCCAGCCAGCGTCTGCCCCAACCGCTGTGGCCTGCCCTTTGCTGCCTGCACTCATAGTGGGACCTGAGGACAGAATTCAGCTTCCTTGTGTCTGACCTTTGGTGCTCCCTGGGCTGTGGCTGCCTGTGGGCACATGAGGGGCCACATCACATGTATGTGTGCATCCTTTTGCGCTGGGCTTGTGCACCTCAGAGCCCAACTTAACTTTGGTCCAAACTTGTCTTGTACTTGGATTGGACCCACCAGAGCTCCCATGACAATTCTTACATTCAACGTGCACGGAAAACACCCTTCACACGTGAAAAGGACACAACATCACACCGTCAATATAGATGTAGTTTAGCTGTTTCTGAGAAAGTGATCTTTCTTTTGAGAAGTGGTTAACTCAAAGAATCATAAACATTAGGCTTAAAGTTTGCCATCAGTCTTAGACTGAAAACTGTCTACAAAGCTCCCAAACTCTTCCGATTTTCATGGGACTCCCTTAATTTCAGGAATATTCATTTACAAAACAGAAAACTAGGAATGGTACTCAGTCCATAGCTGTGACACAGACCAAAGCTAAAGAGCTAATATAAGGATTAAACCAATGACCTTGGCTTGTTTGAAGCAGAAAAAAAGAGCTAGCCAGCCACAACCAGAAAGCCTGACAGAGCGCAGTTAAGTGAACAGCCCAAACCTATCCACTAAGTTTTGCAAGTTTCTAATAATGTTAATTTTTGTCCAGAGTAAAGGAGGATCAAGCTACCATTTGCATTATTCATGTGTGTGCTCTTTAGTTTAAAACTAATTACATTTAATCATGTGACCTGGGTTTCAAAACAAATCCAGACCACAAACTCACTTTTATGAAATAAGTTACCTGTATCCTCTGAATAAAGAAAAATAAAATGGCAAGCATCCCAGCAGACACACATTGTCCTTGCAACTGCACCTTCAGTTGCTATATGGAAAAATTGAGACCAAAAAAGTAAATAAAAGCAGTACAATAGCTACAATAGATCCAAGAGTGTTGGGCAGGCACATACCTACACACATAAACGCCTACCAAACACACACACACAGATCAGAACAGAGTGTTATGAGCCTACCTCTATAGCCAGGTCCTTTTCATTCACACTTACCCCTCATTTTTTCCTAGCCGACTGAAGATAAAGTTAGCATGATGAGCTCCGTTTGAATAATAACATGACTCTGATTTGACGGCAACCCTACAAAACTCCCTTAACCAACAACTTTCAAAACTGCCCGGCCCTAAGTTTTCAACTCGTGTTTTTCAGCTCCTGAACCATAACACCTTTCCAACACAACTCAGTGGTACAAAGTAGTAAAATGATCTGACTTGAGTAATAATAAAGAACAGAATGGGCTCTGGAAGCTTGTAGATGAGTGTTCTGGTCCGAGCTTCCCCATTTATATCCCTGAAACTGGGAATACCCCTTAGGCTTCTATTTCTGTATCGATAATGGCAGGATTGTCATTGAACAATTTCTGTGAAATGGACCCTATGAACCCATGGTCCAGTCTGCTGTCTCTGAGGAATTCTAGAACCTTCTCTGCCTCCTCCATTTGGGCCCCCAGCTCAAGTCTTTTCAGGTCCTGTTTAAGCTCTTAAATCTGCTCTTTTTAGACCTCTTTGCATACTCCTTGCGTTCCTGTCTTCATCTCAGCAGTGAGATGTCCAGAAAGCCTTTTTTGACCTGGTGGCTGCCAGAGCCCTGCCTGGGCCTTGGCTTCACCACCACCAAGACAGGCCCTAGTGACAGCCCAGAGATGGCCTGGGAGCCTGGGTTGGTACCTCTGTCTCCCTCTAGCAGGCTGGCTGTGTGCAGAATCTGTTTCCTAGAGTCACAGTCTTCAAGAGTCTGTGAATTTAAAACTAGTAATTCAGTCTTCACAAATTGGTTATTCCTCCCATGGTTTTCTATAAATGCCCCCTCCTTTACTGAATGAAAAATAAAGTAGGGTTATACTTTTCTCTTCTTCCCTTTTAGTGTACTATATGAAAGTGTATGACAAATACTTTTGGGTCCCTCTAAACTGCTTAAGAAAAAAAGTACCAGAAAAATGACTCTTCAGTTAGCCTCTCAAACTTCTAAACAAGCGATATCAAATCCTTCCTAAAAATTTTAAATAAAGGGGCCTTTGGGGATGCTGCCTGTAGATCTGGGTGCTGGTTACACAGGTGCGTTATTTGTTAAAATTAATAGGCCTGAATATTCATGATATCTATATTTTTGTATGTATATTATACCTCAATAAACATTTTTATGTGAACAGATTATGATTTTAAAATGCTGCTTATCAATAATATTTTTCCCTTAAGTAAATAATCGTTATATATAGTCATTTCTATGGGAGGAGGAATTGTTATGAAATTCACGTTTTGTGAACATGTATCAAGTACGATTTGATTCATGTACCCAGTGATTCTCTAGGCTGAATTTTCTAACAGTGTCAACTGGGCCCTGAAGGATTTGTCCTTTCCCACTGAAAAGATAGTGCACGTATTATTTAAGGGATAGAGTACAATGGTGATTGGAAACCTTGTTCTGTAGTTTTTTAGCATGTGTTATGCTCTACTTCACTGTTTCTCCATGTTTATTTTCAGGACAGAGAGTTCTATGCGGTTGATAGAACTAAGGGGCAGAGGAATCATAAAAGATTACTCCCACCCAATCTGAAACCTCAAAAACATTCTCAGTGAGCTTGAACATCACTTGAGAATACATCAAACAATGGCTTTTCTTGATTAAAGAGGTTTTTTTATGATTCTTTTAAAGGAGGCCTTTAAATTCAGTCATTTGAGAAAACGTTTGATGTACTCTTGCACTGTATTCATAGAATAGTAGTAAGTAAGTCTAGTACAGAATATTCTACCCTTAAAAAAACGATCTATTCCACAGAACCCAATTATGTGCCAGAAACACCCTCACTCTACCTTTTTCCCTTTCTCTGAGCTGATACTACAAAGGGAATTCTACATGCTAACAAGAGGGTCAGATCAAATCTATTTGGCAGTGTAATCTATCCTTTTAGAGGGCCAGATTCTTTCCCTGTAACCACTGCTTATAACTGACAATGGCTTATTGTTCAACTTCTCATTGAGCGATGATGATGAGTCTGCGAAAGGCATCCATCGGGGAGGGAGGTTTGTTCCTTTTCTCTCTTTTTTTACTGAAATGGCTTTGAAAAACTCTAAGTGCGGACATTGTTGTTAAAAGGAACAGTTCCAACTCTCATGATGACTTTTTCCCCCAAAGTACTGTGTGCAATCATTAATCAGTTCTTTCCATGGGTCATTTTATGTCACAAGAGAAATGTTAACATGCCCTGAATGTCCTTCAGAAGCCAGGGAAAAAAACAACCCTAGAGAAAAGCACTGGAGAGGATCACATTTTATAAACTTAAGTTAGTGAAAATATTTTTTGGAAAGAAATCCTCTCACATCACACACAGTTCATTCAATTAAATTTTTCAGATTCCTTCTGGAATTGTGGATGATTTCTCTCATTTGGAATCACCAAAGGACAGATTATCCATAAATTATCTAAATGTACATATATTTATTCCACAGTGCTTATGGTAATAACTTTTTATTGCATATATTCATGAACATGAATTAAATTGACTTGTGAAAAACATCTTGCTTGCAGCCAATTCTTATCTTTAAAAGGCAAAGGATGTTATAAAAGGTGAAATTTGAATATAATGATTGAATTGCATATATTACTTTTAAGTTGACTTCGGATAGCTAATTTTGATAAAAACCAATTTTGTGCTTCCATAATTCACCAATTTAAAATTTATATCTGTGGCTTAGAATCCACAAATAATATGGATTTTATTTTTGTTTAAGCAGTCAAACTTTATGTTCCGAAACAGGAGGCTGGAGACCCTTATCTAGCTCTGTCACACTCTAGCTGTACGGCCTTCGGTGTGATTGTAACCAACCCAAGGTTCAGTTTCTTCTTTTACAAAGACTAAAGCTCCTTCCGAACCCTAAAATTATATAATTCTGAAAAATTGCACCTCCTCCCCCAAGATGTTACTTACTAGTCCCTGGAACCTGGGAATGTGACCTTACATGGCAAGAGGGAAATTGCAGATGTGGTCCAGTTAAAAATCTTGAAATAAAGAGATTATCCTGGATTACCTAGGTGGCCTGATATAATCACAAAGGTCCTTATAAAAGGGATACAGGAAGAGTCAGGGTCAGAGAGAAGGCTTTGTGCCAAAGGAAGCAAAGGTGGGAGTTATTGGGCCCCAAGCTAAAGAATGCCAGCAGCCTCTAGAAGCTAGAAGAGGTAAGGAAGGGATTTTCCCCTAGAGCCTCCAGAAGCAATTCGCCCTGATAACACCTTGACTTCAGGCCAGTGAAACTAATTTTGGACATCTGGCCTCCAGAACTGTAGGAGAATAAATCTGTATTATTTTAAGCCACTAAATTTGCGGTGATTTGTCACAGCAGCTATAGGAAACTAATGCACCGTATTAGGGAGAAGCACTTCTCGGTGGTGGTGTGAAGAGCTCTGTGGACACTCCCCCCAGTGAAACAACCATACCTCATGAAAATTATAAAAAATAACAACCACTTAAAGCCTCTGGAAATTGGTCTAAGGATACACAGAAAACGAGGAAATATTTATTTAAGAAAATCTATTAAGTCTCGTTAAAAATAGTGTCTCTGACCTTTGAGCCACGACTTGCTCCCCACCCACCAGCTAAATGTAACTGAATCTCCACTCAGCGGTGTGGCCAAGAACATGAGTTTTTTCTTTCTTTGGCCCAGTCTAGTCAGAGAAAATTCGGCAAGAAAATAAAATAAAAGACGTCCAGGTTGGAAAAGAAGTAAAACTATCTCTATTTGCAGATGACATGAGCCTCTATATAGAAAATAGGAAGGAATTCACTAAAAATCTACCAGAGCTAATAAATGAGTTCAGCCATGTGGCAGGGTATACGATCAACATACATAAGTCAATTACATTCCTATCTGTTAGTCATTAATGAGTGTGATTCTATCCATTAGTAATGAACAACTGTCCATTAGTAACAAACAATCCAAAGTCGAAATTAAGAAAACAATTCCATTTACAATGGTATCAAAAAGAATAAAATACTTAGGAATAAATTTAACAAAAGAAATGCAAAACAAGTTGTAAGCCACATATGTTGCATGCAGGAATGTAAAACTGTAACTTTGCTTTGGAAAACAGTTGGTGATTTCTGAAAGTGTTAAACATAGAGTTACCTTATGAGTCTTAGATATATACCCAAGAGGTATAAACATGTATATCCACACAAAAACTTGTATATGAATGTTCATAGCAGCACTGTTCATAATAGCCAAAAAGTGGAAACAACTCAAATGTCCACTAACTGATTAATGGATAAACAAAATGTATATTGATGTAATGGAATATTATTCAGTAATACAAAGAAATAAAGTACTAATACATGCTACAACATGGATGAATCTTGAAAATATTATGCTAAGTGAAAGAAGCCAGTCACAAAAAACCATGAATTATATGATTCCATTTATATGAAATATCAAGACTAGGCCAGTCTATGGGGACAGAAGAGAGATTAGCAGTTGACTGAAGCTGCAGAGAGGAATGAGGAGTGACTGCTAATGGGTACGGGGTTTCTTTTTGGGGTGAGGAATATGTTCTAACATTATATTGTGGTGATTGCACAACTCGGTGAATATACTAAGAATCATTGATTATACCTCAATAAAGTTGTTCAAAATTTATTATTCTTCCAAGATATCACAATTGTAACAAAATATCAGCCTATTGAAGGAGGTGTTTTTAATTCGAAGTGTATTTTAGTTTTCTTTTCTGTCGTTTACTCATACTGCAAACACTGATGGGACACCAGGAAGTGCCCAGTACTAGGAATACTTAGACAAAAAATAGTTTCTGCACCTACTCCTATGCCCGACATATAGTATGTGCGCGACAAATATGTTTTGAATGGATGGATGGCTGACCATAAAATAGGTCTGGGAAGGATGCACAGGAAGGGAGGAGGGTTCTGTTTATATTTCTTTTTATAAAACTATATTAAGGTATCAAAATTTGAATTTTACCAAGACTAGGTAATATTTATGTCCTAATTTCCTTTCCTTTACCAATTGGGTGTTATAAACTATTACAAACTGCAAAATCAAACAGCAGTAACAAAATTATTGCCTAATATAGTAAGCTAGGTGCAATGGAAACGTTCTGGGGTTTATTGTCAGGAAAAAAACAGCTTCAAATATTGTTTCTGGCACTTACTAACAATGTGACCTGAAATAAGTTGTTTAATTCTTAGTCACGTCATCAGTTAAAGAGGAATAATAATAACACATCCTCTACTTGATAAGATTATTAATAATATATGTATTTAGAAAGCAGCATAATGTTCAAAATATGGAAGGCATCTTTATTAAGTTTAAATGAATCTGACTTAGTTCAGCGAGGAATATAACAACTGTTTGGATTATACATGTCCACAATGGTAAACATTTCTGCTATATTATATCAAGCTTTGTGATAAACAATAAAAGAAACTTTATGGAACTGTAGAGTTTCGCAGAAAATAATTTAAGGCACACAATTTAGAAATTAAACTAAATTGCTGAAAATCTGGTCCATTGAGATTTCTCTGCTTTCCCATTTTAATCTTTTCTTCACTCTCGAATAGTAAATATATCATTATTACTTGCATTATTACATATAAATATAATAGGACTTTTTACTTTTTAAAAAGGAGCTTAGGATTATTTATACTAAAAACATCGTGAATTTGTAATCAGAAGTTCTAACAAACACTCATTTTCACAGCCCAAAGGCTTTTGCTCATTGCACAGTCTCCTCAGGAATCCAACTACCACGCTTCATCCAAAACTTTAAAAATATTTCCCCAGTGTTAACCAAATTAATCTCATGATTTCGATGCCATTTTAAAGATCACATATGTTAAAGAATCTAAAATTCTTTAGAATGTTTGTTTCATTTTGGCCTTGAGATACGGAAGCTTGGTATTCATAACACCCCCATGTTATAGACTGGATGTTTGTGTCCTCCCGAAATTCCTATGTTGTAGCCCTCCCCCGCACTGTGATGGCATCTGGAGGTGGGGTCTTTGGGAGGTAATTAGGTCATGGAGTTAAAGCCCCTACCATAGAATTAGCGTCCTCATAAGGGGATGAAGAGACCAGGGCTCTTTCCCCATCACGTGAGGATACAGCTGGAAGGCAGCTGTCTGTGAACCAGGAGTAGGGCCCTCATCAAGACCCAATCATGCTAGCACCCTGATCTTAGACTTCCCAGCCTCCAGAACTGTGAGAAATAAACGTTTGTTGTTGAAGCCCCCAGTCTATGGTATTCTGTGACTGCTGCCCGAACTGACTAAGACACCCCATCTCTGTTTGGCCATCTCTGCTTCAGTACTAAAGGCGCCAAAAAATGCACATTAGCTTTATTTTCCAAATATAACTTTCTTCTCCTTTCAAAAAATATAAAAACAACAAGCTTATCTTTTGATCTCCTTTTCCCTGCTCACTTCAGAAAAAATAAAAAAGCATTGAGAAACTGTTTCTTAAGAATTTTTATTTTGAGTCCCAGCTACCCTAGCTGATGCTTAGTGGATTAATTTCATTCTGATGCCACATCACCAGTCTGAGCTCAATTCTAGCCAATTGGAATAATACATATACTGCCTGCAAATCAGACCTCTCAGGGCTGTATTTTCAAATGTACCATTTGGTCATGTCATGTCTATCATATATTTTCAATATTAGAGGTCAGGACACCTTCAATGATTCAGCAAATACGATGTGCCAAGCACTGTTCTAGACATTGGAAATGTCACACAAGATCATAACCTTGAAGGAAGATTAATATTCTCTCAAGAATAAGCTTCTCAAGGATCTTATATTTTGGTGGATGAGACAGAAAATAAATAAACAAGAAAATGAGCATATAAAAATAGCAATTTTAGTTTGAAACAGTAAGTCAGTCATAATGGAATGAGCAAGAGAAGCCTTTCTAAAACAGATGGCATTTGAGTTGAGTCCTGCATGACAAGAAGAAGCAAGCTATGAAAAGAACTGGAGGAAAGGCATTTCAGGCAGAGGAATCAGAGAGGGCAAGGATCCTGAAAGCTTGGTGTGTTGGAGGAATAGAGGCCAGTGTGGTGTATAAGCAAAGGAATGAATGGCACGAGATGAATAAGATAAGCAAGGGCCTGGTTGAAGAAGACCTATAGACAATAGGACGTGGGACACACAGGGAAGCGACAGGATCTGCTTTACACATTCCGTTTGAATAGCAAGGAAAATGTCTCTGGAGGCTCTGCAACAGGTTTTCCGTTCAATTCATTGGCCAGTATTGTCTCATGCACACATTTTTATTTTTAAACCCATCACTGACAATAGGAATTGAACTACCAGGATTGGGCCATGACTAAGCAAATTTCACCTAGACGTCCAATCACCCCTGGTAACTAACAATCGAGGTTTCTGCTAGCAAGGAAGAGGGAAGGAATGGCTGTTGGATAGGCTTCTGATGGAAAATACCACAGAAAATCTATGCTATCCAACTGGAGGTGACAAGTAGTCAGTTGATGATACAAGTCTGGAATTCAGGGAAGGGTGTCAGATGACATCTTCTGCATATGGCTGGTATTTAAGGTCACGGACTGGATGAGATCACTTGGAGAGATTGTGTATGGATTTAGAAGACAGTTTAGTATTCTGCTCTGGTGTATCCCAATATTTAGACATCAGGTAAAGGAGGAGAAACAAAGAAAGAATTGGCCAGAGCTAGCTGCAGAAGAATGTTTGCCTTAAAAGTTAAAAGAGAAAGATTCTCCAAGAAGGGATTGGATAATTGGGTCAGCTATTGCTGAAAAGAAGATGAGTACAATCAAAATAGGAGAGGCGTTCAGAATCCAGCAATAATGAGATTGTTGGTGGCCCTGAGAAGAGCAGGTTCAGTAAATGCTTACGCAGAAGCTTGATAGAGTAACCAAAGTGTGAATGAAAACTGAAGTATTTTGAGAAGATTTGCTGTGAAAGAACAGAGAAATAGAGCAGAGAGAATCATGATGGTCAAGGGAAAGTTTTGGTTATTACAATTTGGGGGATTATAGAAGCTGTTTTATGTGCCTAGAATGATCCGACGCAGAGAAAGACATTGATGTTGTGGAATAGCGGCGGGTTAACTGTAAAATCAAAAATTCTTGAGAAGGTTGGGATCTGAGAATGAGTGGGAAGATTGACCTCTGATAGGAGATACATTTATTCCACTTCAAAAAGAGGGAAGGCAGAGAGGATATGGGCACAGAGTCCGAGAGGTAAGCAGATAAGATGCATTCCTGTATGATGGCTTAGATCTTTTCAATTAAGCGTGAGTCTAAGTCATCAGCTAAGAATGGGGAGGAAGAGAGTGTGGGAGGTTTTGGGTGAAAGGAAATATGAAATAGTTATTGCAAAGACTCAAAAGGGGATTTTATTAGGAAAAAGTAGTAGGGCCCTTTGGCAGTAATGCGGGCATACTTGAAGCTTGGGATCACAAATTTGAAGTGCAACCAGCAGACAGTTATGATATAATCTCCAGTAGGTACAGGCATAGAGAAGATGGCTGGTGGGCTCCCGAAGGGTTGGGGTCTAGCCAGGCAAGTACAGGTAGAGTGGGCCCAGAGAATTGAGCGTGTTTTCAAGTAAATTATTTTAATAATGGGTCATGAATTAAAAGCTGGGTAAAAAGAGAAGCCAAGTTAGGAGAGTAGTGAAAATTGTGAAAAGTGGCAGCGTCAAAGGGTCACAGGGGTCAATAAGATTAAGGAATAATTGCATGGAGGTGCTAGAGTGAGCAAGCTGAAGGGAAAGGAGGTAGCGACCATCAGAACCAGTTCCCATTTTTAAGAGTTAGGTTGCTCATTCATTATTACTCTACATTTACGGCAGCCTTTTCAAAGAGATCAAAGTACCTGCTGGGCCCAGCTTGCTCATAAAAGGTACAATTATGTGCGGCTGAGAAGCAGCCATGTGATTAGGGAGTTGGTAAAGTGCTAATTCAGCAATGACATGGTAAAATAGACCACATAACCTTACATCTGAACGAAAGGGCAACATCACAGCTGAAGGAAAAGAGCTTCTGCTTAAACTTGGAGCAACGTGATTCAAACCTTTGATGTGACAGGTAGCACTGTATACCCTGGGGCGTATTTCCTAACCACTCTGAATCCTGGATTGGCCTCTTAAACTGGGCGATGGC